CGACCGAGGCGGCGGATGCGGCGGGCAAGGCGGCAGGCGATGCGATCATCGCCGGCAAGTCGCCAGAGGTAGCGGCGGCCGCGGGTGAGGCTGCGGGCACAGCGGCTGAAAAGGCGCTGGATGCCGGCCTCTCGCCGGACGCAGTCGATGCGGCTGGCGAGGCGGCAGGCGAGGCTATCCTTGCGGGCAAGAGCCCCGAGGTTGCGGCCGCCGCTGGCGAGGCTGCCGGCAAGGCGGCCCAGAAAGCACTCGACGACGGCTTGTCACCCGATGCTGCCGACGCGGCGGGCGAAGCTGCGGGCGCGGCGATCATTGCGGGCAAGACGGCCGAGGAGGCAGCCGCTGCTGGCGAGGCTGCGAGCAAGGCGGCCCAGAAGGCGCTCGACGACGGCTTGTCACCGGATGCTGCCGATGCGGCGGGCAAGGTGGCGGGCGACGCCATCATCGCAGGCTACACGCCCGAGCAGGCAGCGGCGGCCGGCGAGGCGGCGGGCAAGGCGGCCCAGAAGGCGCTCGATGCCGGCCTGTCGCCGGAAGCGGCTGATGCGGCTGGCGAGGCGGCAGGCGAGGCTGTCCTCGCTGGCAAGTCGCCCGAGGAGGCGGCTGCTGCGGGCGAGGCTGCCGGCACGGCGGCCCAGAAGGCTCTCGACGACGGCTTGTCGCCCGAGGCAGCTGCGGCCGCGGGTGAGGCGGCGGGTGACGCCATCATCGCCGGCAAGAGCCCCGAGGTGGCGGCCGCTGCTGGAGAGGCTGCCGGCAAGGCGGCCCAGGCTGCGCTCGACGCCGGCCTGTCGACAGAGGCGGCGGATGCGGCTGGTGAGGCGGCAGGCAAGGCTATCATCGCAGGCAAGTCGCCCGAGGTGGCTGCGGCCGCTGGCGACGCTGCCGGCAAGGCGGCCCAGAAGGCGCTCGACGATGGCTTGTCGCCCGAGGCTGTCGATGCGGCGGGCGAGTCGGCGGGCGACGCCATCATCGCCGGCAAGAGCGCCGAGGTGGCGGCGGCCGCGGGCGAGGCTGCAGGCAAGGCGGCTCAAGCGGCGCTCGACGCCGGCCTATCGACCGAGGCGGCGGATGCGGCGGGCAAGGCGGCAGGCGATGCGATCATCGCCGGCAAGTCGCCAGAGGTAGCGGCGGCCGCGGGGA